TTTACTTTTACAGGCTAATTTTACATTCTTTTAAAAAACTCTTCATAAAGAATATCATCCACAGCATTTTTGTCTTCTTTTCTTTCTTTTGTTCCGAAAATAACTATATTTCGTTCCCTCTTTTCAACTTGCTTATTTTCATTGCGTTAAGTATGTTAGTTTCTAGTTTATTTGGTCTTTTAATGGAATTAAATAAGTTACTGAATAATCTAGATTCCGTTTTGATTTGCGATGGCTTTTCAAGAATTTATTTCTTAAATTATGATTTATAGAATCTAGTTTGATAATTTGATTTTGCATTTATATTTTTTTCAGATACCTTGGCTATAACTATAAACAAATACGCTTTATACGAAGTTACCTTTTGATATTTCATTTTAATATACAGGTATATGCACCGCAAAAACCACATTAATGATGCCATACTCAGATTTTTTTTTAGATAAGATATTGACAAAATTTCTATATATGCTTCATTACTACTACTAAAAATAACTCCTTCCTGGGGGTTGCTAAATAATTATTTATAAATGGTTGCTATTTTTCACTCTGTCAAAAAGTCATTGTTTTTCTCAAAAACCACATCAACAAAAATCCTTATAAAACATGATCTAAATAAAATTAAGCTTCAGGATTTAATTTGCATTAGTTCATGATATTATGAGTGGATTGTATGTTGCACTACATCAAATAAGCACTACAGAAAATAACACTACAGCAACATTGTTGTTGTAGTGTTATTTTTTTTGTTAGTATGTTTTTCACTACAAAAGCCATATTACATGCACCCCAGAAAGTGTTTCTTTGATATCTAAAATTACATTTTAAAATTGCATCAAACAATTATTTATTTTTGTTGTACATCTGTATCTATACAACAAGTGACTAACTTAACTACTTTCATCTTGTCTATGCTTTGAATTATTGTTTTAGCAACTTGAAAAAATATTTTTATTTGTTATACATGAATGAATATCAAAATATTCAAAAAATGACCACAATTTTTACCTTACGTTTTGGAACAAGGTCTTTCAATCCAAATTGTAAAGAAGAAGCAGTAGTTGCAAGAAAGCAAACAAATGCAAAAAACAAACAGTTGGTAGACGCTGTAGCATGGTGCAAAGATAAGGGTGTAAGAGGAAAGTGTGCCCTTAAATTCCCTTGATTAAAGATCGAGAAACAATAAATCGACGTCTAGATAGTAATATACAGACTGGAAAAGAACGATAATACTGCTCAATATTATTAGAAGAAGAAGAGATTTCAATTGTATGCTTCGTGAAAAATAAAAATAGATTCTTGTTAAATATCAATAAAGCACAATTGACTAAATTAATGTTAGATACATTTAAAATAAGAGTTTACCAACAAGAAATCAAGAGAAAGGCGAAAATATCAGCCACTATCATCTGCTGCAAAATTGGCATTAAAAAATAAACGGTATGTTTACAAATAACTTTAACTTTTAGTATTTTTAGCACTCGTATAGCTAAATTGTATTTGTATAAACTTAACTTTTACCTAACATGTTGTACCTTGATAATGTGTTTCACTTTAAAGCTCTTTCCCTCCTTTTAAAGTGCAAATAGGTATAACTGATTTAATCAATTATATTGTAGATGCACTTGCAGAGGAACTTATTGCAGCTGGAGTTATGACAGAAGCAGAGCTAATTGAGGAAGGAATTTGGAAAATAAATATTGACACCACAAGAATTTTTAATAATGATGAAACTCCTCAATTCATTAATTGTGGTGTTGATGGAACTTCTTCTGGTTTGGTCTATGCTGCGAAAGGAGATCGATGTAAAAAAAATCCGAAAAGAAAACGGATGTGTTAGCATTCATCCCTTCGTGCCATTCTCAAGTTTGTTTTTATTTTACTATTCTATATTTACAAAATGGTTGGTCTTGCTCTATCATAGCCAGCTGTAAAACGGGTGTTTTCCTGTAATCTACATTTTCTAAAAAAATCTCTTTTTATCAAGACTTGATTTAGCTTAGATTCTGTATATATATTTTGCTTAGTAACTTTTTAAACTACCTTAAACTGAAATAATATCACTAATAAAATTATATCTTACAATTCCAGGAGAGGTCTGTATGTGTCTAATGATCTTTGGCAATGTTGATATAACAAGCCTGATGGTACCAAATGAAACAGCTGCTAACATAAAACATCTACTATGAGATGGCCATATACTTTTAGCTGCTGTTAAAGAATTTAATGAGTATTTGAAAGAGAACAATATTTAAAGACCGCTAGTCCTATTATCAAATGGACACAGTTCAAGATGGACAAGATGGATGTTCAAGTTTGACTATCATGTTATGTCATTCTTTTAATCTTTTTATTCATGTCATTCCTTAATCTTCCTCTTCCTTTAAAGTTTCTTTCTCCTCCAGATACAACAAGGGTTAGACAGTTATTAGACCAGTTAAATAAAAATATTCATCACAAATATAGAAAAAAAGACAAAATATTGACTGAGACAAATGCACTAAACAAAGAAGCATTCATGCTTATTTTAGCCAGTATATGGGGTATTTGGGCAAAAAAGTTCTCTCTGATAAAAGCTGCAAAACGAGTTGTGTAACTAATGAAGCTTTGAGCATTGAATTCATGCAATGAATTCAATGCTCAAAGATAATTGTATGGAGACTCCTGAAGGGCCATCAGTTACATCCACACCATCAGTCATGAGCTCTGATTCCTCTTTTGTTGTCTCATCTGATAAAAAAAAGGATCAGCACTGTATTGGAAAGGAAAATTTGAAAGTGCCTAAACTTTGATTAAAAAGTTGCATGAGAAGAGCATCCAATTAGAGGAGATACCAGGTTTTATGACCATTAAAAAAATAAAGCTAAATTTATCAACTAATTCAACACGAATAACTCAAGTGCATGGGTCCATGAAGGCTAAAGATGTTTTGCGTTTATTTAAAGATATAAATTAAAAGAAAGAACAAAGTTCGAAAACATGTGCAAAATGTAGAAAAAAAGAACAAAAAAAAAAGTCTTTATTAAATGTAAGGAGAAATGTGTGTGTGCTGGATTTGTAGAGTAAAAAGGTTGAGGGAATGCCCAAAATGTCACAATATTTTGAAATCCCAATGCAGCAAGTTAGCATGCTGTGTCAATGGAAATAAACCTACAATAATTTTTAACTGCTGTAGCTTTGCAAAGAACAGTAACAAATCGAAAAAAAAGTTATTCAATGCAGATAGTGATAGCTTATTCAATGCAGATAGTAATTTAGAGAGCAATAAAGGATTTATGAATATTGAGTTTATGTATAACTAAATCATTCTTTTAAAATATAATGCCTAATTTATATTTTCATCCTATAATAAAGATTATTCTAATTGTGTTATTTGACTTTTATGTTTATTTGCTAAATACACCCTAAAAACCACATCACTACTAAGTAGAACTTTGCTCAATATTATCAAACGTAATACTTATAATAGATTTAACCATTTGGTTATTGAAAAAGACACTCAAGAGCCTAATAAAAACTTCACAAACTTAGTCTGACATTTGCGTGTTTTATAGTATTTTTACTGAAAATATTGCTTTAAAAAACCAGGGAAAATTTTCCAAAAGGCTTTAAAAAATTATTTTGTGCTATAAAAACATCAATGTTTTTTTGTCTTTTTTTTCCATTAGCTTGAACATTTAAATACCAAAAAAATTGTATTTTTATAGGGGAAGTGGGGGCATAACCGCCCCCGTAACGTTTGGATTAATGTTATATGAAGATAAAAACGAAATGTGTTTTTTTAAAAGTTTATTTCTATAACCACATCATAAAGCTTTAAATTGGTGCAATTAAAAAAAAATTAAACGCTTTTTGAAAATGTTTTAGCACAAAAACTAGACTTAGTGAAAAAAACGTTTTGCCCCCATTGTGAGGCACAACTGCACCCTTAGATTCAAGTGTGACGATTGTGATCATTGTCATTAGTACGCTGTTGTGCCTCCTGTCTATGCGGTTCTGCCCCAGATGACAGTTTTTAGAAAGAATGCAGTTTCATAGGTTGCTCAATAAGTTATGCCAATGTCAAAAACGGTTTTTACTTGATGAAATAATGCTGATAACAAATATGTTTAACACTAAAATCAAATACTGCTTAATCCTCAAAAAAAAGGTATGGAAAAATATGATGTAAATATAAATTTTTTTATCAAAATAGACATTATCTACAACTTTTCAGTAACGCAACAGGCGTTCTTTTTAACATAATCGAAATGAAGAAAACTGATTTACCGACGCATGGTATGTTTTTTGCCATATTAAATAACCTGTAAGAAATTTATTGTATTGTTAAACTTTTTTCAATGTTATCTTTTGATTAAACAGCGTGAATACATGACGTAATTTCGTTTTCTAAAACATCAGCTCGTTAAATCGAATTTCGTTGGTCCCTTCGAGGTTTGAGTTATCAGTATATATATATATACATATATATATAAATATATATATATATATATATATATAAATATATATATATATATAAATATATATATATATATATATATATATAAATATATATATATATATATATGTATATATATATATATATATATATGTATATATATATATATATATATATATATATATATATATATATATATATATATATATATATATATATATATATATATATATATATATATATATATATATATATATATAAACTTGTGCATAAACAGTTGGCAAAATCTAACCTTAGCTTGCAATATTGAACTCTAATTTTTAATTTTAATTGTAAATAATCTCTTTTATCAGATCTTTTTTAAATTGAATTCTGTTTTAAAAAAATATATAAATATTTAAAAAAATATTTTTAAAAGTATTTAGGTGCGTATACACGCACCTAATGCAATTTTATTTATAAAATTCTAAATACTAGCCTGATTTATACTTTTTTTTCAGACATAAATTAAACTTTATTATATTTGTTTTTTAAATACCGGTTAAAAACAAATGAACTTTACCTTTGAAGTAGATTTGCATTGTTTCCACCAAGTTTGACGAATTGCAAGTCTTCGATCAAATCGAGATGGTGCAGAGGATACAATAAGAATCATGTTTATTTGTTCAGGTTTACTTAATTTCAAAACATTTAAACTTTTATACACTGTGTTTTTACTTAATTCTAAATTATTGTTTTCCATATACCGCTTCATCATAATATCTTTTGAAATAGATGGTTGGATCATTTTATCTAAAATTGAATTTCGAGGGGAATCGTCATTGAAGTGGTATACGGTTAAAGTTTTTAAAGTTTCGTTATTTTTTAGAATTGCAGTCGGTAAGTTATAACTGTTTAAAAGTTCCTCTTGATATAAATGTCGAACTTTCATTTGATAAATATAATTACATTTTATAATAATGCAAATTGTAACCAAGTTAAATATAAATGTAAAGAAAAGAAGTTTTAATAAAAAACTATTTTGAAATAAACCTCTGATGCAAAACAAAATGACATTCAATAACGACATATTTAGTAACTCGGTAACTTTTTATTTTCTCAGTAACTTCATAACTCACTAACTTTTTATTTTATCATTTATTGCTAAATGAAACGTTGCATCTTTATTAACAGTTTCAAAGTTAAACTTAAACATAAATAGTATGTAACAACATAATAGTAACAACATACATAAATAGTATGTAACAAAAACATAAATAAAAATAAAAATAGCAGAGTGAAAAAAAAAACTTTTTTACAATGCCCAGTTTTTTTTTTTTTTGTAAAAGAAAACCATTGGAGTTAGCTTCAACCTTGTTTATAGATTTAATATAAAGTTGTTGGATCTGTATTCATTTATTTATGTAAACTATTTTGCACTATTAGTCACAAAAAATTAAAGAAATCGGGTTAAAGCAAACTAACTGTACTAATCTCATTTAGTTAATTGTACTGGTCTCAATAAGTTAACTGTACTAGTCTCATTTGGTTAACTGTACTGGTCTCATTTAGTTAACTGTAAACTGTGCTTAGAAATTAGTAGAAACACCAAAGTTATCTTTAACTTTTAACTCATTCGTAACAGTATGATTACCTATATACTGTGCTATATCTAATATCAATCTTACTAAAAATTTAAACTTAAAAGTTTGAACTTTATGATTTTTGCCAAATTGCTAAGTTCGTCAAAATCATTCTCTCTTGAACTTTTAAAGAGTCTATAGTATTATAAACCAATGCAAACTTAATGAAAAATATGAAAATTCCAACTAGAATTAATATTTTTAATAATAATAGAAGCGTTCACCCTACTGAATACTTAACTTTAAGTAGATGCATCAACTTTTAAAACTAATTTTTCATAGTTAAAATAAATAAATTTATCGATAGCAAAACAAAACAAAGGAATGAAAGTTTAATTTAAAAGTTTTTTATCATTTTAATAACCACAATTTTAATAACCATAATTATATTATATCATTATATAAATTCTCATTACCATTTTACTTTTAGATATTTTAATCTTATTATATTAATAACTTTTACCCAAATCATATTTGCAATCATTACCTGGTTAGTTCTCAAATAAAAAAAATATCTTACACAGCTGCATTTTTGAATTTTGCAATTGATATTTTATATTTATTGTCTCAATTGATTAATTAAATCAGTTTGTGCTGCAATTTCAAAACGTTGTAGGCATTTTCAACTTTTAAACACATTTCCGACAAACAACACATAACAGAAGTTCAAATAAAAACATTTTAGAACTTCAATATTTCAAATTTTTTAGTTGGTATATACATTTTATTTAAATTATTGAATAATTTAGCTTTATAGTAATGTGAATAAATTGAATAAATAAAATATGTAAAGAAGATGCTTATTAAGATTTTATATGACGTAATATGACGTAATATGAGTAAACGTGACAATAGCTTTGAATAATAAATATAGACAATGCTATGCTCAAGTTAGCATAAGCAAATAGTGTTTTCTTAAAATAAATAGACAAAAGTTAATCGTTAAACTTCGGTTCCAAAGTAAGTTACCAAAATAAACAAATAGTTGAACAAATACTCATTGAGCGATTGAGTTGTATTCGCTAAACAAATATTACTATTGGTTAAACAAAGTTTAACCAATAGTAATATTCATTTCACGAACAGTAATAACATTCACGGTGGTGAATGGTACTACAGTTCGGTTAGGGTATCTAAATAATAATAATAATAAAAAAAAAATCATTGACTGAAGTAATGGGCTTTTTTCGAATATCATTAAATTATAATATCTAGATCTTTACTGTTGACAAAAAGCCGACACTTGACAACTGCTTCAATGAAAAAAAATTGCAATATCTTCAGCTTCAGGAAATTTTGCACGTAATGCTGCAACTGTTTAATAACAAAAAAATTTAAGAACTAATTCAAGATTTTGTTGTTCAATTTGTTTTGGTGACACAACTTTTGTGTTAATGGTGACAGCTATTCATTATCAACCAAAAGAGGCTTTCCACTTGCAACTATCATTTGTTGATTTAATTCTTCTATCACGTTTGTTTGAAAATTTGTATTATAAACTGTAAAAACTTTTATAACAAGTCGTGGACCACCAAAAAGACAAAGAAATTTTAGTACGAAAACCGTTTTTGCTTTTTCTGGGACATTTTCTGCTTCACGATACAAAATACCTATAATCAATAAACAAAATTAATAATTTCATATAAAGCAATTTTTTAAAATGATTTATTTTAACTAATTGAGAGTTCTCCAACCATTTAAGCTTTTCAAACAATATTAAAAAAAAAAAAGCTAAAAAAAAAAAATCTTGGTTTTCCAGTTAAAAATAACTTACCACCAGAGTACTACAGCCAAGGTTTTATGTATACCTCATCAGCCCAGGTTATATGTACACCTCATCAGCCCAGGTTTTATGTACACCTCATCAGCCCAGGTTTTATATACACCTCATCAGCCAAGATAAAGCAGTATTTTTAAAATGGCTGAAGATTTTTAAATATTCAGTATCTTCAAGTTTATTTATTATGTTTGTCATTCGTTGTAGCTTTCGTACACTTGACAAAACAAGCTTCTCTAGGAGATCAAAATATACTAAACAAGATTTTGAATAAAGATCACGGCTGTTTTACTCGATCCTGACGTCACGAGTTTATCAAATAAAAAAAGCATTTCCGCATAAAACAGTATAAAAATTCACTAACTTTAAAATAATAGTATTTTTTTTCTATAAACCTTTAATCTTAAAATTACAAAAATATAAATTAAAAATAATTTAGGTCACCAAATTATTAAAATTGAAATCCTTTATACATATGAAAATCAAAAAATTATTTTCTGTATCTTTAGCTACATGTCATTATGTCTTATATGCCATATGTCTTCAAACTTGACTGGTTTACAACATTTTTTCTATTTTTATGCTTAACATTTTGTTTACTTTTTAAAACAATCACGTGAACTTTTTTATGAGTAAAAAAATAGCTATTCGCTTTACTGACAAAAATTTTGCCTGTTTCAGTTAAAAATCAGGTCTAAATAAATTTCTTTTTAAGTTAAAGTGGCTTACAATGTGTATATTTAATACTAAATATCTAAAATATACTTTTTCAATTTTTTTTGGAGTGACAACAAATTACTAAAATTTAGCCAAGCTTATCATTTGGCGTGTTTTATCTAAAATCGAAAATGTTTTTAATCTTTCATTTAATGTCGTATGATAAAACATTTTATTGGTGCTTATATTCTTTTTACAGAACAAAATTATCTTTACTGTTTTAAAAATTTAAAAAGTTTTTGTATCACCAAATAAGTGATTACTATTTTACAAAAAACAAGAAACCGTAAAGCTCACTTTGAAACATCCGTGAGATACAATGCATCTGAAATGTCTTCTAAAGAAAATGGGGGTATTGTTTTATTTATTATATAGCTACTTGATGCCTAGTATAACTTGCTCGCATAGAATGCATTGGAACAAAACTACCACCTTTGACTTTTTTCAGTTCTGCATCCTTAGACCACCAATTTGCTTTTAATCTGTAAACACAAAGTTTGCATTTGGAAACTTTTAATCCATAACTCGCGATCCTCGGATTTAAAGGGAAATCTGTACATTATTTTATATGGTATACCTGGAGAAGAAAAAATAAATAAATAAATAAAAAATTATGAATTAAACATCATACTTTATTTTTTGATTTGTAATTTGAAGAGCAACCATAAACGCAACATTTATTACCGTAGAACGGGGTGACTTTGATAGTTTCGTCTGTTAGTTACAAAAATAATGATTTGAATGTGAAATTGCACAATTAGAGACTATTTTTTTTTTTTATTCTTGTACATAATTATATTCTGCTAATATTTTTGAAATTTTAATGATTGTGAAGTGATTCTAAATTGTGCAAATGTGTTAGGAATAACATGACTATAACAAAAAAATAACGATTTTTACACGTACCAAAAAATGCCAAAAAATCTTGTGATTTTAATTTTTTTGAAATTTTTTTTTTCTAAAAATCTATACTTAGATGTTCAAGTGGTATTTTCCAGTTGTAATACCACTGGAATATACCACTCGTTTTTGGTTACTCTCAATCACATTTGCAGAAAAATCAGTGTAAATCAGGGTAAATCAGTACTTAATATTTATATGCAATTAGTATTATTTTTTTGTTAGTGTTATTTTATATCTGCTAATTACTATAACAATGTTATTGATATATTATTTTTCTGTGTTTAGCATATTAACATCAAATTTATTTTTGTTTTTTCTTTGTCCATTCTGTAGATATATTCGATAACCAAACTTGTTGTCTAAATTTATAATTTTACCAGTAAATCTTATAAGTTTATTAATATGTTGTGTTCTAATTTAGTAAAAGTCAAAAAGAAAGTATTAGCGGCACTGTAAAGAGGGTTAAATCAATAAGCCATTAAGAAATAATAGACTATCAAAGTCACCCCAAACGACGGGGTGAGATTGATAACATTTTGGATTAAAAATATATATATTAAGACAAAAAAAAATTAAAAATATTTAATGGAATTATATAAAGTAAAGGTATAATGTTATAACGGGAAAAAAAAATCAGAAAAAATTGTAATGAACCAGATTTATTTTGCAAAAATGCTCAAAATCCTAACAAAGTCACCCCGTTCTACGGTAGGCATTTTACCGTAAAATATACGAGTTTAACTATAATAGTTTCAATACTTTCCCGTAAAAAAAAGTCGGCCTTTACTAATTTTACGGAAAATGAGCTGTCGCGGCCTGTTTAAGAAGGCCTTGCTTTGGATATATGTATATTATATTATGTATAACTATGCATAACAAAGTACTAAAAAGTGATTCTTAAAAATTGATAAATAGAAAATAATAAAAGTGTAAATAAAAAATAATAGTAATAATAAAAAGTAACAGTAAAAATAAAAAGCGAATAACAATAATTGTAATAATTACTTTGTTTACGTATCAATATTAATATTAATTACATATCGATATTGATATGTCACTTGAATAAAAATATGATTAAAGGAGCGACACCAAATAATATTTAAAAAAAAAATCTAATAAATTTCTTTTTGTTATATAGATAGGGTTATACCTGACCCTATTCCTATAGATAAGATTACCTGACCCTAATCTTATATCCCTGAGCCTAATCTATACTTTTTTTTTTTTCATTTCGTTTTATCTGATTTTTACGTTTAGCACTACAAATTTTACCTGCTTTCTTACGTAAATTCCTGCAGATTCGTTCAAAAAATTCGTAGCAAAAAAAAAAAAAAAAAAAAAAAAAAAAAAACTAAAACCAGATTCTATGAATTGATTCAAACTGATTTGAATTTTGAACTTTAAACTGAATTTAAATGAACAGTGGAGCGAATACTAAATATTATATTTATTGACCGAAGTTTCATTAAGACCTATTACTATTCGTTTAACAAATATTGCTATTTGTTAATATTTGTTTAACAAATAATACTAATCATTAAACTTCCTAACCGAAGTTAACGAATCGTTATTCCACTTAGTTTTTAAACAAAGTCGAAGAATAATCAAAGTTCGCCAATCGATTGACGAACGAACTTCCCTGTGTTTACTCAAGGGTCTGTAATAAGAAGTTTATACGTTCTCTAAAGTAATAGCTTTTAAAATATCTACTTCTTCCATTGGCTGGTTTTCATAATATTTAGTTTTTTAAATATTTAATTTATATGAATATAAAGTTGTATTTCCATGGATTTATAAATACAGATTCATTTTGTTTTTAGTTTTTGCTTTTGCATAAGATGAATAGTAATGTAAGCTTCTTTATATCTCACCCAACATTTTCTTTTGTTTTTACTTTCAAATTAAAACTTTAACGTCAGAATGCTGTTTTATTGAAATTTCTACAATGGGTTGTGGATCAAGCTCTGATTCAAAGGTCGTTACAAATAAACCTATTAGTTATGGTCCTCCTCCACCATATCAATCACCTTCTCCAAATCCAACTCATGTGGAAACCCAGCAACCACAACATTTATCAGTAAAGGATGTATGTATATCTATGTTAATATATGATAACTTTCTATTAAAATTTTTTAAAAGGCTTGTTAAACATGCCCAGCACAGATTTAAAAAAATACTCTTTAGAATAAAGTAAAAATTTTTAAGTTATTAGTGCATCTAAAAAGATTAAACAGACTACAAGTTTTACTCCTGTCAGATTCTTAAATGTAAAGCTGTCTGTGATAAAAGTTAGAAAGTCTTGTTTACTAAATTGATATCTTTCTTTTTTTTTCGGAGTTTTTACTGTAAAAGTTAATAAGTTAACAGGGGCATTTAGCCCCGTATTTTTAAGAATTTTTCTTCTCTCTCTCTCTCTCTCTCTCTCTCTCTCTCTTTGAAATAAGTATATAAGTATTAAATTCAAAATGGAAACATTTTTTAGTTATAGACAATACATATTTATATATATGTACAAAAGCTTTATCCAACAAAACTTAAAGTCATATAGTAAAAAAAAAAGCTAAAATTTTACAAGTAATATGAACTCAAATTTAATAAAATGGGGCACTGAGCTCCACTAAGTAAAGCATGTACTTTTATAATATTTTTTAGACATTTCTCACAGATACAGTCCAGGGCTTCACTATCAGCTTCATCTAGAATATCTGTGTATTTAACTTGGTACTAAACATCACATAAGTCACAGCACATCCATTCTTCTCTTTGACTTCTGTGAATACCACACTTTAGACACAGCGTCATCATCCTCATCACTGTTCCTATAATCTCCGGCTGGAAGATTTTTTTAATTTGTTGTAGTCTTTTTTTCTTACAGCATTAATTTTTTTTGCTGCCTCTTCCCTTATTTCATCACCTGTTAGGCTTTCTCTGTAGCGAAACTTGATGGTTCTAACCAACCCACCATCCCCAGAAGTTTGTGCAATAAGCCCCATTACTAAAACTATATTCAATAAAAAATATAAACTAATTCTATAAATAAATAACTTTTCTTTTTAAAACAAACTATATCTATGTAATGTTTATAAAATTAAAAGATGAATTTTATTTTTCTGTTTAATGTTATTTGATTGTTTTAATCACCTTTTTAATCACTTGGCATTAACAGGGGGCATTAAGCAACTGCAAATTAAAATATTTATTTTTATAAACTAATTAAACTAATTAATATTTAATAGAACCATATTTCTCTTAGAAATACTATCCATTGAAAATTTTAAATTGAAATTTAGTATTAAAGTCAATTTTAGAGCCATTTATAAAGAATCTCATAGACATTCATCTAACTGCCATTTTAATTTGCTGAAATTTCTACCTTCATTTGCTTTACAAAGTATTTTATTATATACAATATTTAATATATACAATATATTTTATTATCTTGTCTTTCTTCCAGTGTTGTCAGATCAAGGCAGCAAATCCTTGAATGTTTTATCATTTAAGGATTTGCTGCAAAACCTTGAATGTTTTATCATTTTGCTTTTTGCTGATATTTTTATTCTATTTAGACTATATGTATATATATATATATATATATATATATATATATATATATATATATATATATATATATATATATATATATATATATATATATATATATATATATAATATATATATATATATATATATATATATATATATATATGTATATATATATATATATATATATATATATATATATATATATATATATATATATATATATATATATATATATATATATACAGTGGCGGCACAAAATAAAGACAAATCCGACAGAATCTAACATTTTTTATATTGAAGAGGTTCTAACGAAAGAGATTTTAAGAGGTGTATGTTTTCTTATCCAAATTATTGAACAAACCATACAGAGTGAACACATATGTAAAATAAACATTGTTTTACTAATATTTGGTATGGTATCCACGAGCTTTAATCACACACCTTATATGGCTAGGCATTGAGGCAAAAAGATCATCAATTGTTGTTTATGGGATATTGTTCCACGGGCCTTTTAACAATACTCACAGGTCATCCAAATTGGATGGTTTCTTTACCTCAATGCTCCTAGACATGACACTCCACAAATTCTTAATAAGCTTCATGTCTGGACTCTGAGCAGACCAGTCTAGCACGTTCACTCCATTTTGACGAAGGAAATTGGTTACCTTCTTTGCTTTAAGACATGGCGCATTGTCATGCTGGAAGATAAACCGATTTCCTTGTCTAAACAGAATATCAGCAGATGGTAGCATTGAGTCCTGAAGCACCTCAATGTATTGGTCTTGGTTCATGTACCCAATGCACCGATACAACTGCCCTACCCCGTGTCCAGACATGCACCCCAAAATCATAACACTACCACCGCCATGCTTCACAGTTAGTGCAATACAGTCTTTTTTAAACTTTTCACCAACTCTTCTTCTAACAATCAGTCTCTTTGCCCCACAGAATAGTTGAAATAAATTTTCATCGGAAAAAATAACGTTTTTCCAGTCCTCGATAGTCCAGCCTTTTTGTTCCCCGGCAAAGACTAACAGTCGCTGGACATTGGTGGCAGAGAGCAAAGGTTTCTTTGCTGCCACACACCCTCTTAATCCGGCTTTTTGTAGTCTCTTCCGCACATTTCCGGAGGCCAAATTAACTCCATGTTCCTCCGACAGTCTTCGGCATAGTTGTGTTGCAGTCAGGCTACTATCCTGAAGTGACATGCGGACCAGCAGCCTATCGGTATGAGCCGTTGTCTTCTTTAGCCTTCCGGAATGTGCTTTGTCTGCTGTATCAATTCTGATCTTTCTTAACAATTTTCCTGATGCCGCTTGCAGTAGAATCCAAAATTGTTACAATTTTACTATAATTTTTACCATTTTCTGCCATGAAAACAGCACGGAGGCGCTCTTCTTGGGACAAGCGAAAATATTTTACCATTTTTTTGACAAAAAAAAATACTGATATTAGATCATTAAATTAAACTAAACAATCAATTAAACTTAAATTAAACTAAACATTTTTTCGATAACAAAAAATACTGATATTAGATCATTAAATTAAACAGACAAAATAATATTAATACTGACAGTGAAGCTGTCAAAATGGAAGCAGATGCTAATAAAACACAAAAAAATTGGCTAAAGTAAAAAAACTTGGTGGAGAATACCTTAAAACTCAATAGTTACCCTTGACTGCTGGTTCTCATTAACTATATTGGGCTTTAGATGACCTTAAATGACTTTAAATGTTATATACTGACTTAATTTGTGAATGGTAATAATATAAATATATATTTTTTACCAATTAATAATGATGACATTAATATCACAATAAAGGCACATCACTTACCTCTACTGTCTTGTTTCCTATGCTTAAAATATGATAAACAACTTTCCAATGTGTTATAATAATTTATCAAAAAAAACATGTGCTTGTTGTTTGCTAAGGTAAACAGGAAGTGCAAAGATATTAACATGTCAACACAACAGAGATCAATAAATGTAGCTATGATGCTTTCATCTGATAATTATTTGGACAAAAGTTGCAGTGATTTAATTTCTGCTGGATTTGTCCTTGTGCCTCCACTGTATATATATATATATATATATATATATATATATATATATATATATATATATATATATATATATATATATATATATATATATATATATATATATATATATATATATATATATATATATATATATGTATATATATATATATATATATATATATATATATATATATATATATATATATATATATATATATATATATATATATATATATATATATATATATATATATATATATATATATATATATATATATATATATATATATAAAGACATGCTTACATACCTGAAAATATATTGTGTAGCAGTGCTCATAAATTTTAAATTAAATACAAATAGTAACAAATAATTAAAGAAGATATGATATTAAAGATATAATATTCTAAGAAGATATAAAATGCAATCTTTTAAGTTGTCTATTAATCGTTATCTTGTTTTATAAACTTCATCTTTTCCCTTTTAATAACTTGTAACTCTAATAGTGGTTGCTTGTTGTAAGTAGAATGTTAAAAAAAAATTAAATTTAAAAATCTGTTCTTTTGTTTGAAACAAAATGAATTTAATGATTATGCAAGTTTCCAGAATATCCAATTCTGAAAATTTTTATTTTAATAACTTATTGTAATTAGAGAAAAAATCTCTAAAAAATTGAAAGTTTTTTAAGTTCAACTTTTTAGCAAAATAAAAAGTTTAAAAAGTCAACAAAGCTGTACTTAAATAGTTCAAACAAATAAGAGCTAAAAATATCACATTTTATGCTCATTTATGTTTGAACTGTTAAAGTATAGCTTTGTTGACTTGATAATATATATCACTTTAAGCAAATATTTTTGGAAAAGTGTCAAAGATTTTATCTTTATGCTTTTTCCAAGTTGAAAGAATGTTTGGTGGAATACCAAAGATTTTTGAAACCTCTCTATTTGTTTTTCCTTTCTCCAATTCTAGTAGATATTTGTATTTCTGCTTTGAACTGTTTTCTTTATGCAGTCTATTTGATGCCATGATTCTTTTTGCAAGAAAAGAGTTATTCTAGCTAATAGTTTTTTGAAAGGTTAAGTCATTTGAAAATTAAAAAAACAGTTCATCAAGTTTTCTTAAAAATTTTTTTTCATTGTTCTAATTTTTTTTCTGAAAAAACTGTATGGAATAATGTAACAAAAAAAGAGAGAAATTGCTGATCTATATACTCTATAGTAGATATAAATATCTAATAGATATAAATATCCAATATTTCAATATTAAAATAAATAAATAGTATCAATACTATTTACTGTTTACTTTTTTTCTTTGTCAATGGACAAATAAAAAAAGTAAGAAGGTACACATAGTCAAAAAATTTTTCACTGGATATAAGCATTGCTTATATAATGTTGGGTTTAGATATTTGTTGTTAAAAATTGTTGCTTGTTGTTGGGTATTCCATATTTTATTAGGAATTATTTGTTCCAAGAGACTATTAGTATTTTTACCTATTTTCTTTGAATTAAGAAACTAATGCTAAATTAATATTTAAATTTAAAACGCAATTTTTCAATTGATTAATTGAAATAATTTTAAAATGCATTTCAATTGTCGTTGTTCAGGAGCATGCATGAGTAAGGGATGAGCATATATATTACAGAAAAAATTTCATGTGACTGTAGAGCATGATTGTGAAAACATTCTGATATGGATATTTTAGTAGTCAAAGCAATAATGAAAAAGAGAGCTGGAAAAGCATCAGAAAACTTGAGGAATATGTTTTAGTAAACTGTCTCTGATTCATCAAAAGTTGTTGATGAAGCTCTTTGATGGCATCTTCTCTATTAAAACATTGCAGGCTCCAAATCTAAAGTTGCCAAAAGAAAAAGTTACTGATGTTTCAATCAATACCACTATGAAGAAATATTCATAGATTCCGTAAATAATGCTAATAATGCTGCATTTCTGTTTGGTCATGACCCCTTCATTGGAGAAGCTCAGTTAGCAAAAAAAATGTGTGGATGGCACGTTTAGGTAATCTTTTACCTTTATAGTGTTTTTTTAGGAGGATCTATTCAAAATATTGTAATTTTATGATGACTTGTTTTAAATTCAAATGTTTAATTTCTGCATGACACCTTGAATGGAGGAAGAAAAATGGTACCAACAGTTGATTTTATCTGTGGAGTACTCACCAGCTTTAGAAGTTCCCATTTCTAAGGAAGATCAGTCTCACTTTGATTTTAGTGATCCACATTTATTTGGCACATCAATTCCAATCATTGTAGCTCTGATAACATCTGTTATCAAAGCAACAATGACTTGTTAAGTTAACAATTCAGGCTTGTTGACAATGTTGATAAATTTGAAGCTTGTTATAGGCTTGTCTTCAGTAAAATCCATGTGATTTTGAAAATCAAATTATCAAACATTATGTCTGACTTCTAAATAGATCTTCAAAATGTACTAAAAGATACATGGAGAGAAAGCAAAATAGATGAAAGACAGTTTTCTTATAACACTGTACCAAAGTTTTTTTCACAAAAGAGAATGCGAAATTTTTGTAAATTTCATATTCTTTTCTGTAAAAGAATGTTTGTAAGGGAGAAAGAGAGAAAAGTAGGGTAGGAGGGAGAGACAGAAATGAATGTGCTCTTATTTGCGGAGAGAGAGTATGCACATCATTTGGGCGCAAGAAAAAGAGAGAAAGGAAGAAAGAAGTCAGAAATGTTTATGCATATGAGTGCAAGAGAGAGAGAGAGAAAGAGAGAGAGACAGAGAGAGAGAGCGAAGAAGTTTGAGAGAACCCAATTAAAATGAAATTATTTATTTGGAATATTTTTCAGATTCCATTTTGAAAATGCAATTGTGATACAGCTTTCTTCACTTGGGCTTCAGAGAGATTAATGAAATGAAATGGGGTTATGCCTACTTCCTGCTGACAAGATTTAAGGAGTCTGGGAATCATGTTTTGTGGACTTTGCCTAATTCAGTGTAGAAGTAAAAACAAAACCTCTTTCTTTCAAAAGATATTTTGAAAATTATTGAATCATTCTCGTAACACCTGAAGGTATCATTATTTATGAACTTGACCATTGAATAGATGCCTCAAAGCTAGTATAGGTGACCGCTGTCAAGGGTTTTTGCAGTTATGCACCTTTTACAACAGCACTTGCACACTGCGCATGAACTACAACTCCTGGCAAACAACCAATCTGCCTGGCAAAATCAATGTGATTATGCAACAATTGAAAAGATCCAGTAGTATAAAGAAAGACTCTGAACTGGCCTACTGAGCATTATTTCTCAGGGATTTCATACATCTTTCTAAATCTCAAAACATGGTAAGAAATGCTATCAACATTTTTGTAATTTTTATCTTTATAAAACATTTTGATTGGCTAATATTTGTGAAGTGAATTTTTCACAAATTAAAAAATAAAGTAAGTTTCTAATGTATAATTATGATGACTGTTCTTTTTTTTTTGCTTCTTCTTGAATTCAATTATATTATTTTTACAAGCAATCTGAAGAGAATAAATTTGAGGACCTTGAAAATCCCAGTTTACTTGAAAAAAAGTTGAAAAGTGTTGTGTGTATGACCAATGCCAGAAATATTTTAATTTTGCCTTGCAATTATTTTCTGTTGTGCATGCCATGCATTGAGCAAGTGCAAGCAAGCAGAATACTATATTGTTTCACATTGATGATAATGTCTTGTTTTAATAATGTAATTCTTGGGAAAGATTGAATATTTTCTTTTAAAAATTGTCATGTTGATAAACTGAGCTTATGTAAATCATAAATACTTACACTGCACAGTGGAGTATTTAATCAAAAAGGTCAATCAAAATTATTTCATTTAAGTTACATAGAACATGCAAGAAATGCCGCTACATTGACTAAGGGTTTTTTTAATTAAAAAATTGCAAGCTTTAGCCAAAACTTTGAGTCGATGTAGCAGCACTCCTTGCATGTTCTATATATTGAAGTTAATTAATCTATGTACACTTTTTACATGTTTTACCTATTTAAGTCACTTGATGTATGTACATCTCTTGCATGTTCTATTTATTTCAGTCAATATATGTTTACCAATAAGGTAAACATATATTGACTGAAATAAATAGAACATGCAAGAGGTTAAACAGACTGTAGAAGAAATTTAGATGATTGTTTTTATCAGTTTATAATAATAAATTAATAAAAACACTTATCTAAATTTTTTTTTTACAGTCTGTTTAACCCTTAAAGCTCTGTTCTTTATAAATATCGAACACTCTATTAGTAGAATACACTAACTTCACTTACACAATATATATATATATATATATATATATATATATATATATATATATATATATATATATATATATATATATATATATATATATATATATATATATATATATATATATAAATTGTCTTCAGAGATTTAAATATTTTTAGGAAAAACCTCAGAATTCACAGAATGAGGCATTACCAGATAAGGATTCAGAGTTTGAGAGTTCACAAAATAAAAGTTCTCAAAATGAAAATGGTAACACAAGCGAGTTAGAAGGTATGAATATTCTAAATTTAATTATTTATAAAATTTGTTATGTAAAATTAATGTAAAATTTGTTATGTAAAATTTGGTATGTAAAATTGACATGTTTTACATAACAAATTATATTGGCAAACAAATATATACTGTATCAATTTAGTATTGATTTTTCTTGAATATTGACTTTTCAGTGATAAATTTTTAAAACTTTCACTGTTTTTTATTCTAAATTAATAAAATTATTATTTTTAATTCTTCAAAAAGTGAAAAATTTTAAAAAATATCATATCATACTTCAAATATGTTTACATTATTTGTTTTATATCATATTATCAGCCCTTAGAACTAGAAAAAGTGAGGTCAGCAATAAATTGCTGACCTTGCTGAGGTTGGCATCAGTTTTGCAAAAAAAATTGACACAAAGGGGTTACTACAAAACATAGTAATGAGGTTGGCGATGTTTTGCTGACCTTAAACACTTTTAGATTGGCATTACTGAATGCTGACCCTAATTCTGAGGGCTGTATTAAATATAATATTTGTTGCCTTTTTTTTTTTTTATAACTTGATTAAGTTTTGAAAAATTATTTTTATCTTTAAACTTATTTTTTTTAGTTGTTGATGTCAATCCAGGAATAAATGTTCAGCATGAAATAAGTTTATTTGTTGAGTACCAAGAGAAGATTAATGAATTAGAAAACAAAAATGTTGAGGAGATGTTTTTAGTTCACACAATGGAATACGAAACAGTAAAAGTTGCTCTGGAAAAGAAGCGAGCTGAATATGATTTATTATACAGTCAAATGTAATGTTATGCACTAAATATTTGTAACTCTCCACAACAAAACCAGACTAATTTAATTTGGGAAAAAAAACTCGTTTTTTTTTAATAAATTAAAGGTTATTTAACTTTAAACATGATTTAATTTTGTTCCTTAAATTAGGCAAGTTTTTCTGGTTTTGTTGAAGAGTGTCACATTTGTAAAACAAGTTGAAGTTTTCATTCTCAAATTAAACACTTAGAATTAATGCTTTTAATGTCCATATTGTCATTCTTAAATTAAACATTTAAAATTAATGTTTTAGTTGTCCAATTTGTCATTCTCAAATTAAACATTTTAAATGTTTTAATTGTCTATATAGTCATTCTTAAATAAAACATTTAAAATTATTGTTTTAGTTGTCCAAATTGTCATTCTCAAATTAAACATTTAAAAATAATGTTTTAGTGATCTGATTTGTCATTCTCAAACTAAACATTTAAAAGTAATGTTTTAGTTGTCCAATTTGTCATTCTCAAACTAAACATTTAAAATTAATGCTTTAGTTGTCTAATTTTTCATTCTCAAATTAAAACAGTTTTTATGAAAAATTCAATAGTTTCTGTAAAAAAAAATATTTTTTTTCAATTTTTAACTGAGAAAAAAAAAACTATTGTTTTTTTTTTACTTTAAGGCTTGAAAAGAGAAATAACAATGATATTGTTAATGTCAAATTTGCAACAACAAACTTCGTTGTTGATGGATCTACTCTGCAACAAGAAGAACTACAATATTTGGAAATAAAAAACAAAGTAGATATCTGTAAAAATCAGGTAAACTTTGTTTTATTTAAAGATAATTTTTATAATTTTTAAGTTTATTTTATATAATCTTAATAAATCTATCTAGCTGAATTGTTTTACAAGATTGAAACTGTTGCATCCATTTCTCATCTTATTTTAAAACATAGTTTATGTAAAACATAATGAATATAGAACATAGTCTATAAAAAACAGCGTATATAAACTCAAACATTTATCATTTAAGCTAATGTTATGTTTGCTTTAAACAAATACTGAGTTTACTAGGCTATTCATAAAAAAATTATTTTCAGAAGAAATCTTTCATTGAAAAAATAAGTTTTTTATATATAATTACTTACTGCATCATGTGGTTGTATCTCTACTTTTCTTCATATGAATCAACTGCAACCAATAATCTTTTTATTTTAATACC